TAACCAGGTGGATGTTGAACGGGAAGTAAATTAGAGCTCTGTACATCAATGCATACGATCAGCTGGATTACTCTTATAACGCTATTCATCGGTGTATTATGTGAAATATGTTGTATGATACATCACATGTAGTGGTTAATGTTAACTTTGGACTCTTCATTCTGAATTTAATGAATATAACATAATATGTGATGCTCCTGTCACACAGTCCAAATGACATTCAACAAACAGGTGAACCTGAGGCCGGAAGGGAAAGTGTGAGGAAGCCGCCTGCGTCTACGGAGACAGGTGTGTGACCACCATCCACTGCACAACACAGTTTTGAAGTAGCTGGAGCATCGGTATGTTATGTGGCCTTTTGAGTTAGAAAACCTGATTAGATTGTGTTTTTCTAAATGAATGATTTGTTGACAGATTAACTTCGGATGCATGACAATCAAATTATATTATTGTGCAATGAAGAAGAATATAAAGAAATGTGCAATACGGGGTCAGATTTTTAAAACACAGAATTTTCCTAAAATATTTTCATAAAGACCTATCTCGGCACTTCAGCATTGGCTTCATTTCTCAGACTCTGAGGTTGCCACTTGTGTGAAACAAAAAAGTAGACATGAGCCAGAGGAAAACTGCATAACCACTGCAATGAGCCGATGCAGAAATTGGGCTAGCAGGAAAACAGAGTCCAGTATAATCATAAGACTGATCGTCAGTGGGAAATTCACAAGCTACCCAGCAGTAATTCAAATTATATTTAGCTCCACCTTTACCAGCTGCAGGTGTGATGTAACAATACATCAATAATTATAATCCAATAATGTGAAATGTTCCATTCTGCATAATGAGTATTACTGTGGTACTACTACTTTTATTTAGATAAAGAATGAGTACTTCTTCCACCACACAACCTGTTTTGTCTACATTTCAACAACAGGATACATTCTGCTTTAGCAATTATACTTAATAGACATGGGAAAGAAGTTTGGCACCATATTTTCATGTGGGGGAGGAAAGTTTCCCTTGACACTGAGGTACAGCTGTAAATCAAATCAATGCAACTTAAATGTTAGGACTTGTAAACAACAAAAGCTGAGAATGACATCATGCTAGTGAGGAGGGAAAAGGAATGGAGCTCTGGGAGTGTAGCAGACGGTGAAGTACAAAGACCAGCAGCCTTCGCCTACTGATACCTTGACACACACACACACACACTCACATACTTTGTGACAAATGTATACTATTAATGACTAACCCATAGATATAAACAGATACAGAGCTGAATGTAAATTAAAACTGAAATTCAATTCAAATTTTATTTGTATAGCACCAAATCACAACAAAAGTTATCTCAGGACACTTTACAAAGTAAGGTCTAGACCTTACTATTATCACTATTATTATAGAGGGAAACCCAACAAATCCCCCCTGAGTAAACACTTGGTGACAGTGAGGAGGAAACACTCCCTTCGTACTGTACTGTAGTGACAGTAAAACATTTTGGCCACAGACACAGCATCAGTCACAAATTCAGCACACTTCATCCAACACATTTTGTTATAGAGATTTGATTTGTTGCTTTACTTTCTGTCTATAATAACTTCTTAAGGACAGTTCGACAACAACTTGGTGAGTTTAACATATGTTACACCACAGCCAGTTACAACTAAATCTGAAAATATACTCTTTTGTGTGCAAGATCTCAGGAGTGTGACTTGGGAGATAACACTGCATTAAGTTCTGTTAGATGTTTCTCTATGGGTTACGAGGAATATTAAAATGGCTAGTGAGTTAAAAAATTAGGCAGCCAGCCCTGACAGAAATATGATTAAGTCTTCACACTCAACAGGTAAGAAGGGAGCATAAACAAAAAATAGAGGGGAATGCTCGGCTCAACAGTACTCACCAGAGGGGCATCCTGGGGGAGCAGCTACAGCAAATCAGGCCAGTAAGTTCTCTGCCAGGTTTGATGAACATCATATATGAGGCTAATTCCAAACAAAAAGCATGTCCTGGAACCTAAAGACCTTCAGTATAGCCATATCATGCCATACAGTAGGACTAGATCTATAGAATTCTAGTTACAGAACCAGAATCCACTTCTCAAGCACATTTATTGGTTTATCCCCTCCTTTTTAATTAGTTACATTTAACTCTTGCAAATCCATAATGGGATGAGTTCATCTTCAAAAAAGCCAAACACTTTGTTGGCCGGCACAGACCTACAGGGAGAGCAGCCAGTCAGCTGCCATGAGCAATAACTTCAGCCTTATCAAAAGTCAGCATGTGGAAGTGGTTTCCATTTACAAATACCTGAGCATCCATGATACGAAATGTAACTTCTGGAGGGCTTTGATAAGGTGCAATTTTAATTCTAACCCTCATTAGTCATGTCTCATTGTCCTCTCTGTTGCAAGACCACATAAGGCTAAGGATCAGATAATGCAGGAATGTTATGTATGCCTACTTTATTAGGGGCAGTGAAAAAAATATTCACATTAGCAAATAACCCTGTGTTGCCTAATCTGTATTGACCATTTAGTACTTTGCTCCAACACGAGCACATTTGCCTGATCACTCCTCAGGTGAAAATGACAAAGCTTCCTTTTGTACCCCCACCAGGACAAGCCTTTATATTTAAGGTTCTGCATTGTCATTTCTGAAAAAATGACATAAAGTAGAAGGTAGAATTAAAATAATATAAAGAATCACATTAATGGCTCAGTCAGTGTGACATCCTGTGGGATTCTAAGCAGGTCACCTTCCCAACATCCATGTGTAAACACCTGCACTGTCAACTCTGTGAGATGTGTGTCAGAGCCCAAAACACTGGTAGGAAGTAATCTCATGACATTTCCCACCCACTGGGGGTGACAAGCCATCGCTGCAGTCCTTTGAGTCCAGGGAAGCAAAACCTATTTTCCCTCAGCAGGACACCACCTCTCTCTCTGTGATCTGTCTCGCTCTGGAAACGAGAGCAATGTTCTATTAGTGAGGGGAAAGAATTCCCCACCTGGGCGCGTGAGACGTGCAAAGCTGAAAGCCAACTGCTGAAATGAAATTCCAGTATCTGATCAGTGGGAGTGAGAGGCTTGCTGGGTAGCCAGGCTTTTGCAGCTGCAGGCTTGTGTCCTGTCCAAACCCTGAAAGCAGCAGTTCTCTGCCTCGTACTTTCAGAGTGCTTCAAGTTCTGAAAAGTACTGGACAGAGATTTGGCTCTAGAAGGGTAGATGTTTTATCCTCAGATGAACAGCAGATTTTGTGGGCTGACAGGTGGTTTGTTGACTGGCATTTGAATTGTTGGCCTACAAGTAGCGCTAGACACCAACAGCACCTACATAATCTGATAGTCTCTCTCTCCAAAGTAAACAGATTATGGTTCATTCAAACAAGAGCCTAGACCTTCAGCTGTTGTCTGTATAAAGACTGTACAGCAGATACAGGAACCACTCACAGGAAGTCTATGTGTATGTATTCCTGTTTGGATTTCACAGGAATGGACCTACTCTAAACAAGGTAGGTCTCCTGTTGTCAGGGTGATAATGTCTTTTCCTGCCTGGCTAGAAGATGAAGGCTTCTTTATCTATACAGCCACTGGAAACCTCATTTCCTGCTCAAGTTTTCTTTCCAGAGCCTCCATCCCAGCTGCCAGCACCAACTCTACAGGGAGAAGTATAGAGAACTGAGGGAGGGATGTGGATGGAGGATGTAGATGAAGATGGGTGGAAGCAAAGGTAAAACATTTTCTAAGTACTGACTGATACAAGACAATCTGTAGAGCAGAGACAAACCACACATCTAAATGCAGCTTGTGGCCTTGTGCACTAGACAGTCTGTGTCTATCAGTGAGAGCCAGACATAACATCATAAGGTTCATGTTCTCAGGCTTCTCCAGTGTCTAATATTACTCACCTAGCAAACATCACTCCCCAAACACAACTGCTTGTTGTTTGTCTAGAATTGTATAAGAGGTAATTGTTGTTTCTCATGTCAAAACCTGGCAGAAAACCAGACAAAGGAGAACAAGACTCTACAGCTATGCTATTGGCTCTGGGAGACTGCCTGTACATTGACACAATGGCGCTTACTCAGCATGCTAACACTGTATTGATATTCAGCATGTACAGTACAGAGCTAATCATAGACACCATAGAAAGTTGGTATGTTAGCATGCTAGGGTTTGTGCTAGCACATACAGTATTGTATAATACACTACTATACATAATTATGTAATATAATACAATCTACAGCTAAGGCTGGAGGGAATGTCAGTTTTGGTCATGAACTAGTCTTGACGTTGTTGACGATGATGCTAAAGGTTGAGAGATAAACAAGTTAGTATTTGCCCTGAGGGGATGAGTAATGAATGCTAACAAGCATGGTGAAAAACAGCTTCATTATATATTATTAGCAATAGCAATGCTGACCTAAGAACAAGTGTCAAGTCATAGAAACTAAAATAATTTGTCAAGTGAAAGTTCTACTTTATCTCCTGCACCAACAATAAACATCCTGTAGCCAACTGGGTGATATACAAAAAACAATGTTTTATTCCATTTAATATCAGTGAATCCAATTCCAAAAACTTAATTTAATAGCATAAGATGACTGGTTTTCCTCTGAACTAAGTGGATCTGTGAATACCTCAACTTGAAGTCGAAACAAATACCAAGAAGCACTTTAGGTTCCTACGGAAATGTAAAAACTACAAGGAAAAGCTGAGCCAAGTGCACAGTACTGTTGAAGCATTATAGTTAAGACTTCATCAAGTGCTCATTTTAATGACAGCATCCCAAAGAAGAGGCAGCTAGCTTAACACTGATTTTAGATTGATGTTCAGTGCGAAAAGTTGGTGATAAGCAAAACCAAAAACCCCAAATGTCTAAGCACTGACAGAGCATTAGTGAGCTGATGACGGGTCCCATCATCAGCTCCTGTGTTGTTCAGCAGCGAGCGTGTGACCTGAAAAAGAACAGGCACCAAAATGTCAAATGAGACTTATTTATTTCATTATTACTGTTGAGAGGCATACATTACAGTGCAAACCATTCTTTGGCAACCGCACAATACAAATGTCATATAGGTACTACTACAGCCACAGTGACCACTGATTTAGCGACAGTGTGGGTAAAGCATGTTCAGTCTTGCAGAGCAGTGCATTCCATTGACACTTGGAAGTTTTTTAAAAGGGAAAATAAAACGGGAAGGAACCACGATGAAAATAAAAAAGAACTAATACAACAGATATATGAATATCAGGAGTGGTAACGAAGAGCGATCACAGTACACTGGCATCCAAACTTCAGGCCAAAGTGTATTGAGCCTGTTACTGAGAAAGAGATGTACATGCATTCATAAAGTTTATGAAAACACCAAAGTAGTGAATTCCATAAAATGCACACATGATGAACTGGTGCTGGAGAAACCAGTCAGAATGCAGTGAAGGAGAGAAATGACACCTCTGTGAACACACAGCGTAGTGTGTCGCCCTGTCCAGTATATTTAAACATGCAATATGACACCAATTTACCAGTTCGACTGCCATCTCCCTAATCCATCTGGAATCCTCAGTGGAACATTCCACAGAGTATTATTTCTGTTTACTGACAGATGCTCACTCAGGACGTTACCACATAAAGAAAATAACGGAAAGGACAGTGCAGCTGCTTTGACACAAATAGCAGCAAAGCAAAACAGGAAGATGAAAATTGTGACTTGTGTTAAGAATATGTGAGCCAGTGCATGAGGTGCAGTGAGTGGCATTAATCTATGTACACTACATGTGGAAGGAAGCTGACAGGAGTCAGTGAAATAAATCTCTTTCTCAGTATGGCAACATGGTGAAGACACTGACTGACACTATGTCCCAGTAATCAGCACCCCTCCCCCAATGTTCCCCTTGTTTTCCTTCCCATATGGCTTCCATTACAGCGGAATGAAGGTCAGAGAGCTAGAAAAGCCTGCGCACCACACATGCTCTGCTGAATGACATCACTCCAGTCTCCAAATCGTTAACATGGCAAAGAAACATGAGCAGGGAAAACAGTCCTAAACGATATCAACCATGAAGAAAGTCGTCCTAGGCGAAGACTCAAAAACTCAACATGTGAGCAAAACTTAGAGGGAAAAGGTGGGGAAAAAGTAGATGCTTGATAAAGGACTGCATGCAAGCATGTCCTCATGTAAAGTGGAACTGGAGAGCTGGATGTCAGATATGGCAGAGAAGAACAGGGAACAGTTAGAGGAGCTGTCCTTCAAGTGTGTAGTCTGTGGAATAAAGACTAAACATGAATATGAAGCAACTGTGAGCAGGTTTAAAGGAGAATACTGCGGTGGTAGAGTTTGCAGTACCAAAGGCTGAGCCCTGACCTCATTACAACATTCATACATAGTTTTGTAGATACATGTGCTATTTATGTAATTTTAGAAGTTACTACACTTGGCTTTAGAAGACTGAGCAAAATACTGGGACAAGGTCCACGACATTAAAGTGATAAAAAAAAGATTATTATTTCACTGCTTTCTGAAAGCAAAATGGAACCTGGAAAGGGACACGACAGTGCAAGAGCTGCAATGAGTGTCCTGCTGTGAAGTGCCACATGGCTCCACTTCACTCAAGTTCAGGACAGGCCAGTAGGTTGTCCATAGGCGGAGGAGCAGTAATCAGTAGACATTTCTTTTGCAATACAAACATTTTCATAGGGCTTCACATTATCTTCATATGTAAGCATTTTGATACAAAAGGGAAGAAAACGCATATGCATAACATGATATGGAGCATCATGGATTACAAGATGAATAACTCTATTCATATAAAGTCTTTTAGTTTGAATAAAACGGTCCTCTCCAATATGATTTATCATTAAAAGGCATATATTGGGTGTATATAGGTTTCTTTGCATACAAGCACAAATATTTTGAAGGTCTGTATTTAGTGATTAAATCAATAAGAAAAGAAGGGGGGAAATAGCACCAGTTTTTGGCATCTCTAACCTGAGAACATTTTGTGAGATGACAAATGGCTGCTGCCTTTCAATCTACTTCCCTTTCCTGCGTCTTAATGGCAGCTGGCCCTGTGTTTTGTCACCAAGTGTTAGTAGCAGGAAAGCAAACAGTGGCTGTTTGCTTCAGCCTCAGTGGACTCCAAGACAGGAGGAGAGGTTTGCCCGTCTTGTTTACAATCCGCCCATTCATCTATCCAATCACCCACCCATCAATTCGGAAATAAATCCATTTAGTGATTGCTGGCTTGTTGCCAGAGGATTTCAAATAGAGCCTCAGGCTGCTGGACCTGCAGGAGGCAGGAAGCCAAAATAAAAAAATAAAATCAAACCCTCCCCTGATCAAAGAAAAAGAATACAAAGTGAAACAAAACAAAAACTGAGGCAACTGGGTTTACGAGGTTACTGGTGCTGCAGATGAGCACGCCTTGGAGAGTCTCGTCCTCTCTCTGGATGTCTGCGAGTGTGCGACTTTCAGGCACTAGAGTGAGTTTGTCGGGGAGTCCTGACGGTTAGTTGTGGTGGGTGTCTGCTTTTTGCTGCTTATCAACGTCTGTGTGTTCCAGGCACATGGGGCAGCAGGCATCTTTTAGCTTGATGGGGTGTTTGCACTCAGCTGGTGGACAAAATTCCACAAAGAAGGTCACCTGGGCATCCTGGGGGGGGGGCAAAGAAGTGGCAACAGGTCAGTTCCATTATTCGATTAGACTGGAAACATGATCACTATAGAGAGACTGGCCAGCTGCAACAAACAGATCAACATACAGCAAAGAAAAAAGGCACGTCTAGAATTACCACTTCATGGTCGTATGCCTCTGCCAACCAGTCAAATTCACAAGAATGGACAGATGTGAGGTCACTGACCTTTGACCTTCAACCACCAAAATTTAATCAGTTCAACCTCGAGTCCAAATGGACATGTGTGCCAAATTCTGAAGAAATTCCCTTAAAGCATTCCTGAGATATCATGTTCCCAAGAATGTAACAAGCACAATGTCACAGGTTAATACCTCCGGCCGTGGCTATCGCTGGCATGGAGGCATAAAAACAAGAACAGAGGAACTGGAATGAACATGATGTGTTTC